AAAAAAAAAAAAAAAAAAAGGAATCACAACCACCAAAACAAGCCCAAGATGGGTAGTGCCTGTGGTTCAGCCAGTAGGGAGCCAGCCCCATATACAGAGGATGGCAGGTTCGAACCCAGCCTGGCCAAACTGCAACAAAAAACAGCCAGGTGTTGTGGTGGGCACCTGTAGTCCCAGCTACTCAGGAGGGTGAGGTAAGAGAATCGCCTAAGCCCAAGAGCTGGAGGTTGCTGTGAGCTGTGATGCCACGGCATTCTATCAAGGGCGACAAAATGACACTCCATCTCAAAAACAAAAACAAACAAAAAAACAACAAGCCCGAGTTAACCTTTTGCTTTGGGTTGTCAATGACAAACACATATTATGCGTATACATTTAAATCTGGACCTGTACTACTCTCAAATATAAAGCTTACCCCAGATGAAGACAATCTGATTTCTTCTTCTTCTTCTTTTTTTTTTTTAAGAGATAGAGTCTTATTTTGTTGCCCTCGGTAGAGTGCCATGGTGTCACAGCTCACAGTAACCTCCAGCTCTTGGGCTTAGGTTCTCTTGCCTCAGCCTCCCAAGTAGCTGGGACTATAGGTGTCCACCACAATGCCTAGCTATTTTTTGTTGCAGTTTGGCCAGGACTGGGTTTGAATCCAGCACCCTACTCACTGAGCCACAGGCGTCACCCTGATTTTTTCTTCTAATAGTACAACATGGAACCCAACACCAGTGCTGTAAATTTCAGACTCAAAAGAGATGTCAATTTTGTACAACAGTTCTAGGAATGCTTGCCTGGCTACTGACTCAATTCTATGCTTCCATGAGAAGCAAAGGAACTGGGGAGGAGGGGTGGGGAAGGGTAGCTATAAGCTGGACCCAAGTGGAATTCCTTTGTCCTCATCCTCAAGCAATCTTTGTCTGGACATCCAAATCTTGCTCCTACAAGTTCTTTTCTACCTTGATTGACTCAAAAAGCTCCATGATTGGTTTCTAATGAGTTAAGCCCAGAGAAAAGTTTCTTGATTAGACATTAACAAGCTATTCAGGCTAACAGCCTGCCATACTCTTTAACTCTTCATTAACTGAAAGGAGATCCAAGGATTGTAGAGGAAAAGCCATCACGGGCCAAACCCTATAGTTAGCTATAACTATAGTAGTAGTTCCCATTCTTTAAATCTGCCCTCTGACCCTTATAGAATTAATTTAGAAGAATTTCATAAACATGGGTTAATTTGAGTCCCCCATCCACTCCCTCCCTCTGTCCAACCCAACCAGGAACATAGTGGGAAGCCTGCCTTCTCTGGCCTGCTCCCCTCTCCTGCACAACTCCCTTTGATGGGAACATACCTTTCCCTCTTCTGAGACATTTGCCATGTGCTTGGTCTTGCACTTTCGCTTTCCTGATGGCTTTTCTGAATTTTCAAGGCAGGCCGGCTCCTCCAGGTTATTTGGGAGGAAACCATTTGGTGCATCCGAGATCCCCTGGGTTTTGTTGGGCAAAAGAAGGTTCCTATTCCTGAGGCAGTGCTCCGAACTCTGGGAGGAAGTCTTCTGCTTATGGGACTTTAAATCTGAAGGCAAGAAACAAGAAAGAATGGATGTCAGAGAAATGGAACACAGAAAAGCAACACCTTCCTTGAAGATGAATCAGAGGACTTTGGAGATTAGAGTCTCAGTGCAAAGATGTATAACTATGGGCTATCGGTATTTAGTACAGCCCTGACTAAATGCTTCATGAAAGGATGTACTACTTTAGTATCAAAGTCCCTCCTCTATAAGCAGAGGACAGCTCCCAGCCCTGACAACAGGAGGTGGCCCATCTGTCCAAGAAGGCTACTTATCTCCAAGAGGAGGGAAATTTTAACTTGAACATTTCCCCATAGTCCTAAGCACATGGTAATTCCTTTTCAGCTTTTTCTCTATCCCCTTTGTCTCTTTCTCCACTCTAGTATGGAAGCAAATTTATTCTGCTGATGGCAACTATCAAGTACAAGGGAGTGGGGAATAAGTGATAGAAGACTGCCTCCACAGCCTCAGCTCTACCCACTTGACTGCTCCAATTGTCACCCTCTGAGGACACAAAGATCAAAGTCAGAGAAACTTCCCAAAACAAGAAGCTTCCATGGGCCTACTTAGCTGGTAGTCAAGAGTAGAAACCTGTTACCCTCTCTGAGTGGAAATCAACTCATCAATGTTGCTGGAAAACGGCGAACAACATCTCTAATTCTAGCCACAGCTCGCTAAACAAAGCACATTCTAATTTCAAAACAGCCTGCTGGAAACTCCAATCAAGAGCTTCATCTCATAGGGCCTGTCCTAACCTCCATGTAAAGTGGTGACAGATTGTATTTAGACACATCTTTTAACATTAATGTTAAGTGGCTTGGTCAGTAACTGTTGTAATTGGCTGGAAGCAAGTCATAATCGCTGGGCCTCAGTTTCCATATCTGTAAAATGGGGAGAACATAATCCACATCACAGGAGTGGTATGAGAATTAAATGAAGCAATATATGTAAAGCCCTTTTATAAAGTGCTATTTGTTTATTTATTTTGGGGGGATCTGAGACTCAGTCATCCTGGGGTTGAGTGCTGTGATGTCATAGCTCATAGCAACCTCAAATTCTTGGGCTACAGTGATTCTCTTGCCTCAGCCTCCTGAGTAGCTGCGACTACAGGTGCCAGGCACAATGCCTGGCTAGTTTTTCTACTTTTAGTAGAAATAGGGTCTCACTCTTGCTCTGGCTGGTTTTGAACTCCTGAGCTCATGCAATCCACCTGCCTTGGCTTCCCAAAGTGCTAGAATCACAGGTGTGAGCCACTGCACCTGGCTATAAAGTGCTATTTGTAATAAGGCATCATTATTATATTATTTAAGTGTAAGCTCTTAAAGTAGGGCTGTGACCGTGTGTTCTTTAGTTCCCCTACAGAACTGGACACCATGCGTAGCATATGGCAAGAGATCAGTATGTCTGTGAAATGAATTAAGTGTAGCTTCATTTCCTCCAATTTGTGAAATGAAGGAATTGAGATCCAAGAATCCCCAACTTGCCTCCCCCAACCTTGACAGAGGCTCTCACCTGTGACATTGCCAAGGGCAAATACAGATGTTGAGAGTCACTGTTCCAGTAGGAAGAGCTGGCTATAGCTTATGCACAGCTCTTAGAAGATAAGCTACGATAGCATCCTCTTCTCCCAACTAGCCCCAGCTTGCTAGTAGGTCCCCACTGCCTGTCCAAGAATTACTATACGACATGGTCTATAATGACACTTCCAAATAGAACATTTTAAAACCAGGATTCTCATTTTTTATTTTTGTTTGAGACAGGGTCTCACTCTGTCACCTAGGCTAGAGCACAGTGACATGATCATAGCTCAGTGCAACCTCTAACTCCTGGGCTCAAGTGATCCTCCTGCCTCAGCCTCCTGAGTAGCTGGGACTAGGGGTACCTGCTAGCACACCCAGCTCATTTTTCGATTGTTGTAGAGACCAGGTCTCACTACGTTCCTTGGGCTGGTCTTCAAAGCCCTGGCCTCAAGTGATTCTCCCACCATGGGCTCCCAAAGTGCTAGGATTACAGGCTTGAGCTGTTGCACCCAGCCTAAACTCAGGATTTTGATGTAACAAGTTTAAGCTGAGGCAAAAGAGGAAGGAACAGAACTGTGCCTTGTGAGGACCTCAGGAAGCATGAGGAAGTCACATTACAGTGTGCCTTGCCCAAGCAAAGAAACAGCCCCCTACCCCGTCTACCTAGGGCAGTGCAGGCTCTGGAGTTTATTCAGTTACAGAGGAGCAAGGGACTTATAGTAGCACACAAAGGATTAGAGAATGGAGGTAGCTGGTGTATGAGTGGAAGTGGCCCTCCCTACCTCCTCTGCAGATCAAGAAGGGAGATAGTAAAGCCCAGGATGAAAGGAAAGGTCATAAGGCTCAGTCAGGAGTAGGGTGACCTGCCTAGTCTGGCCTTTACCTGACTATGATGTCAACTTGAAAGATAGGTAGCAACAGGAGGGATTGGAGCTTTTTGAGTAGGGAGATGTTTGTCAGGCAAGTCCTGCATGAAGATGCCATAATAAGATCTGGAAGGTGACCAAACCACATGCCAAAACCTGCTGCCTCAATGACAAACTCTTTGACAGATCCATAGAAGGAGAACAACGTACTTTCCAACAATTGGAGCTTCCTCCAAATCAAATAGGATGTTTCAATCAGTGGTGTTCTCCACATTACTAGAGGTGTTCACACAAACTCTAGCTATCTGACAAGAATGCCATGGAGATCTCTATTTCTGCATTGGGTGGCAAACTGAACCAGGCAACCTTGAAGGTCTTTCTAGTTCCAAGAGCTTATGAGTTCCATAGGAAGCTTCCAAGCTAGCAAACCAGTCCTCAGCAGAGAATATCAGGTGATATACAAAAGCTCCTCTTCATCCTAACACAAGTGGTTGAGGCCAACAGCTTGACAGCTCATAGAAGAAAGGGAAAATTGTCCTCACTCTGTCACATAGTTGATGAAAATTAACACAATTACTCTCTTGAGCATAGGGATCGGTATCATATATATGTCCATTTAAACAGAGCCAGAAATGAGGTTAAGCCTTTTTTGCATTATAGCAAACCAGAATCTACTACCCACTCAATGGGATTATTCAGTTACAGCTAATAAGGAGACTGAAGATGTTTACTGGCAGCTCAGGATGAATGCATTATAGGAGGCAATCAATTGGCACTTCCAGGATAGAGGTCAGACAATGAAAGTGAGAAACAGAGGTGTTCTTATGGAACCCAGAGATATGCTTTTTGCTCATTTATAAATCCTCTATAGGAATGGACCTGAATAGCATGTAGCGGAACATACTCCTATTAGCCTCTGTGACAGTCTGTGTCTCCATGATTGTATATCATAGCATCTGACGTAGTAAAAGAAAGCCTGGTTTTCTCTTTGGGCTGCCTGCTTTGCCAACTGAGGTCCAACAAAAATGATGCCACCTTGCTTGGCTCACCTCAAAGCTTCATTCCGCCTCTGAACAATCACTGTGGCTTTAACTGAAAAAGCAAAGTTGTGCCCGCTTCTACTTGAAGTTCTTCTGTTGATTTGAGAGAACCACTGTACTTCTTTTTAGTTTAGGGGCTTGAGGAAGTCCCAGGAAAGGCAGCTGATACCCTCTTTCTTCTTAAACCCAAAATTCTAGGAGAGAGAACCTGTCCTCCTGAAAGATTCTACTCCCTCAAGCCAACCAGAGAACTCCCTGGCACTGAGTTGTCCCATGCCAAGGAGGTCATCGTGGCCTTGTCTACATGTTCAGACTTCTATAAGAAACCAAAGGGCTTGGGCCTTCGTCCTCAGCTCACCTGTAGGCCAGTCCAAACTCATGCAATCTCAACCCAAAGCCAACAGCTCAGGGCTGAAGTTGAGTGACCCCCTCTGGCAGCTGGAGGTCATAGCACCAGGTTTCTCTGGGTCCTGAGGTGTTTGGCTGGCGCAGAGATGCCCAAGGGTTCCCAGAAGCCACACTGGTGGAGGTAACAGCAGCCCTGGCCAGCCTTACCTGCTCTCCCTTTCCGCCGTTGCTCTTCTTGCTCAGTCAGGTACTCCCCAGTCTCATATTTTCGGCTCTTCTGCCTTCTCCGTTTCTTCCTCTTCACCAGGCCATCCTCCTCATCTTCCTCCTCCTCCTCATTGGTGTCCCACATTTGCCGCGCAGCCTCTGTCCTCCAGGGCATTTCTCGGGCTCGCCACAAGTGCCTGCGGCCCTGGCTCAGCAGGGTCTTGTCCTGGGCATGATGGCTGCGATACTGGGTGTCCCGCTGGGTCTTTCTCACCTTGCGACGCTTAGCTGGGGTGGGGGACACTTCCTCTTCCTCTTCTGTGGGAAAGACTTCTTGGCTTCCCATGTCACTGTCTGCCATACCAGCAAAGGAGCTACAGATGCTTCCTGTGGACGGGATGTACAGAGGACGGTCAGGTACCTCTTCAAAGGACAAAGTATGGTGTCGAAGCGAGTACCCTGGACTAGGAGTTTGATGATCTGGGTTCAAGTTCAGGCTCTGCCAGTTATTAGCTGTGCACTTTGGGAAAGTTCCTTCACTGCAGTTTCTCATCTATAAAACGGGGATACTGTTTTCCCTTTATGGACCACACAGGGCTTTTTTGAGCCTCAAATGAGATCTTTCACCTGTAAGTGCTTTATGAGTCCAATATACCAGACAACTATCAAGTATTAAAAACACACACCCTTGCTCATCCATATTAATGTGTCACTTGAATTTACCCACAATCTCTTGCTTGATGCTTATGAGGCACCAAGCATTGTGTGAAGGGCAAAAGAGGGCCACAGGTGTTTGGGAAATCAGGGTCTAGAAGAGGATGAAGAAGGACTCTCCAGCCCTGGCTCACTCTGTGGCACCACCAACCTCAGGGACAGAGCCACCCTGTTCAAGCAGAATCATCACAAAAGGAGAGTCTCAGGGAAAATGAAGCCATGAGTCCCTTTCCTGTTGAAACAGCCTCTTTGAGTCACGCCAAAATGCACCCAGCCAGGCCCTCTTCCCTTAAGTTGACCCCACCTCCTCCTGAATTGCCAAGAGCTCAGGGGTGGAGCTTGCTCACTGGCACCTCCCCCTACCTTGTTGCAGCTGTTCCTTGCCACTGGGCATGCACTTCCCCCTCCACTCCCAACCACCCCAGGATGGACTGCACCTTTCTTGTCTTCCTCAGCCAAAAGACAATTTTCTTTTCCCATTCTTTCCTCCAACTCTGCTAACAACAAAAGTCCAATCCTAAATTGGCCCAGTTTCACACTACAGGAGATCTGACACCTTCCTAGGAAGCGGCTGTGAGACGCTACCATCTTTCTCCCAAGGCCCAGCTATTAACTTGAGAATCCCCAGACCCAAGTGAGGTCAGTAGAAGAAAAAAAATGGTTTGAGGCAAACAGAGCAGTCCTTGACCAAAGCCTTCAAGTCAGTCAGACTGTTTAAAGACAGCAAATAACTAATAATCTTTCCACTATAGACCAGGCAGGGAATGTAGACCAGGCAGGGAATGAAGTGTTCTGGTTAATCTAATATTCTGGTTAATACAAAATCACCATAGAGATCACACAGGGATCACCAATTTCCAAAGAATCAAATACAGTACAGCATGTTTAACACTAAAATGGGACTGGCTGTAATGTAATCGTTCTTTGATGATTCAGAGGACACTTCAGGATTTTGCGAGGCCTTCAGGCCATCATTACGAGCCCCAATTACCACCACTGTGCTTGCCATGTGCAGAAGTGCCAGTTAATAGAATGTCAGACAACTGAGTTTACACTGTGCCCTGCCTCCCCATTCTGTCCAATTTGCATAGAAATCTGGGTGAATAGGGAAACCATCTCTAGCCCTTTGTACCAACATGGAGGCTCACAGAAAGCTGAGGAGACAGGAAAGGTCTATCTTTTTTTAGACACTAGGGGTTGACTGATACAAACTCAGGGGACAAAATGTGATTTTGCTAGCTCTGATCAATCAACGACTTTTCCAATTTTGATGATGTCCATCACAAAGGGCAATATGACCAAGGCCCAAAGGTTAAATGTCTGTGCCAAAGATTGGCCCCAATATCACAAGATACCAAAGCATGGAGGAGAACAAGCTTTCCTGCATGGCACAGGAATTTCCTCTTTCCACAATGGGGTCTCAACTAGAAATGTCAAATCCCTGATCTGAAAAATTAAATACATAGCCCTAAAATCATGGGCAATGGCTCCTACTGCCACTGGGCTCTATTGTCTCTGCAAGGAGCTGGCCATCTTGGCAAAGTGAATTACATTCCTAGCACTCCACCTGGCCCAATGGCAAAGCATTCAACCAGACTGCTACCTCTTTTGTGTAGACAATTCCAAAAGAGCCCATCGCCTTAATCTCACTCACCAGACTGACTACGTGTCCGAGTGCTCAGAACCACAGGAATGAAGTCACGGAAACTGCTCTTTGCTTTCTTTTCCAAGGAACCTGGAGGGATGTGTGGTTTCAGGAAAGAAAGCAGAGACATCACAATCAGTCTAAAAACCAGAAAGCCCACCTGAGAGGCTTAAGTGGAGAAATCACGGGAAGAGTTTGTGTTTACTCTATGGTTGCCCTAGGTTATGGTTATTAGCTCCCTTTATGATGTTATCCCATGTGTACATCTTAAAGATAACGAGGATTTCCTATTAGTTTTTTAAAACTAGAAATTTGGTCACTTTGGCTGATGCCAAAAAAGGCACTGTACAGTATCAGTTCAATAGCACAACAGAAAGGAGGCCCAGTCATCTATGTAACTCTGAGGCTGCTATGCCTCAACAAAGTTGTAACTGAGCTGGAGCATATCCCAGAAAAGGGCGACTTCAATGAATCTTAGGGGACTGTCCAAGGCAGGAAGATGGGGGCAGGGAACGGTGGATAAAGGAAAATTGCTATATAAGAACAGACTAGAAGAGGCAGATCGTATCAGATAGGTGAGACCATGAACACGATCTACTCTGGTCAAGAATGCCTGGGATTCTCTCCCTGATGAGGGTGCAGAGGAAGTATTTGGGGCAGAGTGCACAGGTTAAGCACAACCCAAATACCCTATGTATCCCTGAATAATAAAGGTTGGAGGATTTCTCTAAACCCTTCTAGCTAGCTAGCTAACTTTTTATTTTTATCTTTTTAGAATGGGAGTTTTCCAGTATACTCAAAGGGAGAGAAAACAGTGTAATGAACCCCCATTCTGCTGTTCTTGTCTAAATCTTCCTTAAGCCTGTTTCTTCTTTGAGCCTAGACCCAGTGCAGGGAAATGAGTTGGCTACTCTGTTGTAGGACTGACATTTGTCTGTATGAAAACCACCTCCTTCGGCCTTCAAAGTGTGCCTTATTCTGGCACCCAGGGTAAGCAGAATGAGCCCCTGCTCCTCTTCCCTTCCCTTGGCCCCTAGAGGTGTCAATCATTGCTCCTTTCCCTAGTTAGGAATTCTTACCTTCCCAGTTTCCAAGCCCCTCTCCCCCCACCACCATGCCACAGGGATCCCTCTATAGCCTAGTCCAGAGGGCCAGGGCCTCTAGGCCTACCTTCCTCATGGCCTTCAGCTCGTTTTCCTGGAGACTGGGACTCCGGCTTTGTTGGCTGCCGGAGCTTGTGCTTTCCCCTGACTCCATTGTGCTCTTTTCCTGAATCCAAAGCCTCCTTGGGGCTTTTCTTGGTGGGTTCCTGGGGATCACTGGGCAGCTTTCGGCACTGTGAAGAGGTAGAGAGAGTCAGGTCTCAGGTCAGTTTTGCTTCGTAAGATAGCTCTCCCAGGGTTCAGCTACTGTGACTTGTTTCTGACACATGGATACAAGCCACCTGGGGTGGGGAACAAGCCAAGGGGAACAGGACCAGGTGCTGCCTTCCACAGTGGGCTATACACTCTTCTGGACTGAATCTGGTGCCCTAGCTAATCCCCAAAGACACCCATACCCCATCACTTTAAAGAGGTCCACAGAGTCTGTGTTCACAAGCCATTGAATAAATACCCAAAGTCATTTTAAAAGGTACAAAGTCAGGCCCCATACTTTCTATATCCAAACGCCAATGGAGAGACCAGCATTAAACAAAATGCCTCTTCTGCAAGTTGGGTGACTACATTGTTCAAATAACTTCACTGTGAATAGTATTGACACCAACAACTGAAAATAATTTCCAGTACGGGCCATCTCAAGAAAAACTGTCTGTTTTCACATGCAAATTAATACCAGAAAATAGATTCAACTAAGGCAAGAAGAAAAACATGATACAGGAGCAATTCATACTTCCCTATGCTTATGAGACACAATGAAAAGGCCCAGGCATTATAAATAATGCCACTTTATACTCTGCAGCACTTTCAACTTTTCAAAATGCTCTCATCTCTATTATTTGATTATATCCTCCCAACAACCCTGAGATGAGAAGCTAATATTATCCCCACCAAACAGGTGAGGAAACTGAAGCTCCTAGACGAGAGGTTGAATGATTTGTCCAAGTCAACACCCAGCCCAATGTATCTACTTACTTAAGGGACTGCCACTTACCATGCCACCCTGCAAGCTAGCCCACTTGTGCTTGCAGCAACAAAGACACAGGGTAGGCACTATGGCCTGGGGCTCCTTGTCCCCAGCCTGGGCCTCTTTGTATCAGTTCTCCCTACCTCTCCTCCCCTACTTTCTTTCTCAGCTGCTTTCACTCAGCTTCTCTCATGCCTACTGCCTGGTACATCTAAGAAGCACAATGGCTGTGCTCATATGCTACAAGGACACTCTCAGCCTAACACTCATGTATTCTCACAAGCTTTGAGGTCTCTCCATGCCACCAAACAAGAAATAGGGCAATGTAGGGATTTCCAGTATTCTAGTATTCTGGGAGTGAAGAATAAATAAAACATTTGAACAACAAAAGCAGGTCCTAGGCCAGGCATGGTGGCTCATGCCTATATAATCCTAGCACTCTGGGAGGCTGAGGCAGGAGGACTGCTTGAGCTCAGGAGTTCAAGGCCAGCCTGAGCAAGAGCCAAGACCCCATCTCTACTAAAAATAGAAAAAATTAGCCGGGTATCATGGCAGGTGCCTGTAGTCTTAGCTACTTGGGAGACTGAGGCACAGGAGGATTGCTTGAGCCCATGAGTGTGAGGTTGCTGTGAGTTAGGCTGACACCAGGGTACTCTAACATGGGCAACAGAGGAAGGGGAGGGGAGGAAGGAAGGGAGGAAAGGAAGGAAGGAAGGAAGGAAAGAAAGAAAAGAAAAGAACAAGAATGAAAGCAGGTTCTAGGAGGAAAAAAAGAGTTAACCTGCTTGAGTTGTTTTTTCCCAAACAGACCCACACCTCATCTTCTAGAAGATTATCACTGTCCAGTTCCAGCTAAGGAGATAGAAGATATCTTACTAATGGAACATTTCAGGGATCTCAATTCTCCAGAGGTAGACAGTCACCACTACCCATAAAATGCTGGGTACTCCCCCATCCCATGAGCTCCTCCAGCTTCTTATTCAGTAGAGAACTAAGCTAAAAATTCAAGTTCAGTTTCCCTCTTTGCTTGCTACCACTTCCTACAAATCAAAATATTAGGAGAAGGAAAAACCTGGGGAGGAAAGAGGAAGATGTGAAACTGCTACTTAAAATCTGACCTTCAGGTATGACCAGAGAAAAACTATTTTTAAGTCAGGGGGAATAAAGTCAAATACATATAAATTTGAACATGTCCTATTTATTTCTGAATATCATGTTCAGCAGGCTCTTTCAAGTACAGATTAACTTTTACTTCCTAAGATAGACAAAAACAAGTAAAACAGAATGTCTAGAAGGGATTTGTATGCACTTTTTTTTTTTTTTTT